TGGCATGATACTAGTCACGTGATCTCGCTGACGCAACACTATATTCAAAATGCGAAATAGTGTGCTATTTCATTATTCTTGCTCTGTGCGGATGCGAATGATTCTTGATCTTGTATTTCTCCTGTGTGAATATTATTTGGTAAGCTACCATTTATCCCAGTAACTAGTTGTAATCTTTAGCTAAGTATAAAAGCTAACAGTATGATACAGTTTATATTGCGTGTTAGCAAAGATTTTGGTGAAACCGGTTTCTATGTCACTTTTTCTAGATCTCAATCCAAGTTAACTATCTAGTTGACGGTTTCAAGGGAAGTTCTATTTTAGTTGCCACGAGCTGACGTGTTTTTGGATTATTTCCGATAACTAGTTGTTTAACCTTTTTTCCATAAATTCTGGTAGTGCAATAGTCTGTTTTTTCCCCTGCTACAATCACATCTTCCTTTCCTTTATCAAACTTTATGCCTTGCTTTCATTTTATAATTCTGTAGCAGAATAATATCATATCGAATATACTGTAAACCACTTCCTAGAAAATAAAAATTTTAGGAGTCATTTACACTAGTAAACGAAATCACTTCAATTAGATTACAAGAAGAAAAAAAGGAATTTTATTTTGTCTAGTCATAGACCACGTGGATGGGTTGTTCGTACATTTGTTTGTAGTTAAGCACAAAGTTACACAAGGGGCTATCTGTGATGTGTCCCCCATGAATATCGCAACCCGGTTTTTAGCGTTGTAAGTCCGCAAACGTAACGCTGAGTTACTGTGGGTCTCACGTGAATGACGAGGAGCATGGTGACTGTATGTTCTTATTATATATATATTGTAAAAAATACTCTCCACATAACCAGATGTTATTGCTAACTGACTTGTGCATTGGAAAAACCTCAACAAAAGAATATTGAATACAACTAGAAGTAAAACGTACTATATTGGATATATGAAAACAAATTGTCACAGATCAATTGCATTAACCATAATTGTTTGAAGAGAAACAAAACCATAGACATTCACATAAGCCAACATAAGAATGCAGCGTGTAACATTTTACGCCACAAGGAACATATCTAAAATCATACCATTAAACATGTTTAAAATTTAAGTTGATAAACAGTTAATTTTGCTCAACCAAATGGATACATACCAATCCATAAATACATTTATACTGAAAAAAGATAATATCGAATGACTTAGTTTAAAATATACTAGAAAACAGAAACGTAAAGAAATGTGAACCAAAATAATAAAATACAATTATATTTAATATATTGAATTAAAAACAAAACAAAAAAAATAATGTTATAAATTATAAGGGTCTACTTCAATTTATCGTGGTCATAATTGTCTATCTATGCTTTTATATAATTAATTACATTTTGTTCATTCATTTGAGCACGTTATATTAAAATGAGTTGAATATACAAATTACCAAGTCACGTTTCACAGGCACAGCTGATATAAAGTCATGGTAGAACAACATGTGTCGAAATTACATTTTGGCATTGTTTGACGTTATGTAAGTAGTATTTTGCTATTTAACATTGATCACTTTTGAGAACGGTACGCATATCTCTCTGATGCAAAATATTTATACACTCAGATCATAAAGAAGTGTTCAGATTGGGGATTTAGAATTTCCAAACCGAGGATATCTCTTGTACTTAATGGCATTGGAAAACAAATGAATATGGATCAACTTGGTACCGCAGGACCACCCAGAAAGAGATCTGCAACAAGTTGTACTCAAGCCATGGTAAATAAAATGATGCATCTTGTAACAGGAAATAATTTAGGAACATAAAGGTCAGTAGCAAAAGCTGTCCACGTGCCCTAGACAACAGTATGCAACATAATCAAGAAAGATCTCCATCTGGAAAAACAACACATATCCATTTAACAGTTGCATACCTCAAGCATTTGGAGAACTAAACGGGTATTCATGTTATTCCATATGAAGTCATACTGGTCAACTCACCAGATACATTACTCGTGTATTTCTGTGAGATGGTAATGATGAAACACACACTGGGAAACCGTCGTCCTCGTAAACTAGATGGATTATGAAAAGGTTGCATGGGTGAGTTGTGTGCTGTGGACATGGCAGCTTTACAAAGGAGCTTTTTGCAATGGAAACTATGCTGCAAGGCTACTGTCAAGATGTACGATCTTCTTATAGATAATGATAAAACGTTACACAGGCCTGCGATGGTTTTATTGTCTTGAAATTTTTACATATTCTATAGTAATTCCTGTATACTGAATATGAAAATGATGTCCATTTTTCTCCATCGCAAAACGTCATGAAGCAATATATAAAAGAAATACCAAAACACGTAGTTTTGAGACTAAAAGACGTAGATTTCAAACACAAAAAATCAGGATGAATGAATTTGCATATTCGTTTGACATCAATGTTCTTCCTTTTCTTCAGTTTGTTTGTATTTTTCTTAACAAACATAATAATAAAAAATGTTCATTGGAGTAAAACGAAAGAAATAATAATTTGATCTAAGAAAGAGTTTTTTCTTCCCGATTTGTAAAAAATCCTTACGTGATACAAAAAAATTAGTATTATTTTCGAAATCTGCGTAGCTGAATTAGGGAAAATCTGTTATTAAAACCAAAACAACTTTTGTGAAATTCGCAAGTCTGTGTTATTGGCGAGCTGTTTTGTGCCTTGTTGTGAGTTTTGAAGTTTATTTCTAACCATGTATACACTGACACAGCACATTTCTTGGATGAAAACATGTGATTCAATCTTGGAGTAAATACCATCTAATTGCGGAAATTCAGAATTGACGCATTGTGACTATCTGTGTTGTGTATGATGATCTGATTTGTTCAGGTGTCCTAGCAAATGTACCATTGGCTTGGTAGCAGTTATACATTCTGCTAATGACATTTGTAATTTATTCACGACAACCTTCATTCGTCCAATGACTATGCACTTGAATGGAACATCCATATGTTTGGGATTTAGCCTTAGCTTATGAACAGCTGGAACACCTTAACTTTTGTG